TGTGGTATCTGAACAAGGATAGTCATGTGGCAGCAAGTAACTGCAGTCCTGCATTGCTGTGCTGGCAAGACTTTTTCTGTACTGCTGGAGTTCAGTTGGAAATCATCCTTCATTTTTGAAAGTGTTCAAAGAAAAGACAGGTCGAGCATCCCATATCTGGGAATCTGAAACACTCTAAACTTGTCCACATGTGTAGCCGAGATAGTGATACCTTTGCTTTCTGAAAGTATAATGTCCAGATATTTTTTTAATGCACAAAATTGTTAAAAAATTGGCATATAAAATTTCATGTATAATGGGTATGAATGCATTTCATGTTTAGATTTGGGTCTCATCACCAAAATATCTCATTATATTTGTTGTTGTTTTGCATGTCCTCAAGTTGTCTCCAACTTGTGGCAACCCTTACACAGACCTTTCATAGGCTTTTCTAAGGCTGAGACTATGTTTAAACCTTGATCCCATCTCATGTGTACATATATGCAAACATGGGTGTTCCAAAATTTAACATCCAAAACACCTTTCTTCCCAAGTATTTCACATACAGGAGGCTAAGCCCATCCAACAGTTCCATAGCTACCTTCAGCATCTGTTATTGTTTGCAAGGAACAAATTACTTAGCTAATCATTCCAGAGTTTACTGGCCTGAATGGGTTTGGAGAAGTCATTTTACCAAATTAATTAAATGTACACCTTATAGACTACATACATTCACTGTTCCATATCAGCTTTGTAAATAAAAGATTCTACAGCTAGCACAGACACTTCTATCAGGCTATGTTGTGTTCGGAGCAAATTACAGCAACTAGAATTTAGTGTACAGGTATACTGTACATCAGTTATGAAAGTAGATATATTATTGGGGATAAAACACAGAAAGAAGAAAAGAGAAGAGCAGCTTGAACATGGGTTGTTGTAGGTTTTTCCGGGCTATATGGCCATGTTCTGGAGGCAATTTTTCTCCTGACGTTTCGCCTGCATCTATGGCAAGCATCCTCAGAGGTAGTGAGGTCCTCACTACCTCTGAGAATGCTTGCCATAGATGCAGGCGAAACATCAGGAGAAAAATTGCCTCCAGAACATGGCCATATAGCCTGGAAAAACCTACAACAACCCAGTGATTCCGGCCATGAAAGCCTTCGACAATAGCTTGAACATGTTTCAGATGAATTTTTATTCATAACTAAAATATGCAGATGTGAAATGAAACAACCAGGTCAGATAAGCCTTGCAAAAGAGTCAACAAAATCACTTAGAACCTTTTATCTCTGCTGCTTATGGAGGTATTCTCCACTACAAGAATTGGATTTGCACATATTTTCACAGTTAAATATGCCCTCGAGTATTGGAATGTACTTCAGGAAGCTCTTCTGTAATTCCAGCTACGTTGAGGAATCCTTTACTGCAGGACATCTGTAAGCAGAGTTCTAGTGTTGTGATTGCAACTTCATATGCCCCTCCTTTACACTAGAACACTGAGAGAGTAAGGTCCAGAATAGTTAGCTGTATGCATTTTGAAAGTTGTCTTATAGCTGAGAAACATCTGAAAAATTCCTTGAAGAAGTGACAAGAAAATGAAGAATTGACTGATCAGCTACAAGTAGTTATCAGCTAGAGTATCAATTATTAAGGCAGAAGCTGACCAACCTTCACTTACCATCTTTTCAAACAATTACTTTGAACTAACTTCTTGCTTTTTGTGCTGCCATCTCATCCTTTGAGATCCTTTTTGGGTTTACATTGAATGAAGTGCAATCAGCTACTATTGTAATCCAACTGTGAACACTATTGATTGATATTCTAATCACTAAAAAGTAGATAAACATCATCACAAAATGTTATTGATGCTTCCTTTAATAAACCAGCAAGAGTGAAAATGCTTTTCCATTTTTGGGTAGAAAACTCTAGGATATTCCGACATGTTTTAATTGATCTTAAACTTAGTTTGGTATTTTCTTATTTACAGGATTGTCATCAAAGCTTCAGGAGATTTCAGAGTTAGAAGACATTCCTATGTTTTCTATTTGATTTCTGTTTTCTCTTTCCCCACCTCAACAGCATACTTGCTGCTTGAAACCTTGTGTAATAGTTCTTATGGTAAAATGTTTCTGGAATACTTGAAGTAAATTGGATAAGGCATTTGGGAGATAAGAGGGTTCAGTACATGGGGTGACTTCACTCTTTGAATATTCACCTTTATCACTTGCAACTTCTAGACCTTATAACGTATTGTTATTTGATACCAGATTTTGTACAACTGCTAATATGGGTTTTTTTCCTGGTGGTTGTCTTGATCCACGGTCTCAACCAAAGCTGCCTTCATGATTCATAGTGTTGCAAAACAGAGGTATGCTAGTTAATGTAATTGTTTAGTAACTCTTGACAGATGAAAAAGTGACAACCTCATTCCACCAGTGGGCATGCTGTATAATTGTTAATGAGTGGTAATTCTGGTTGTTGTTCCAAGTTTTTATCCCCTCCCCCAAAGCAGGGACATAAACAGGATGTGTCTTAGATGAGTTATGGGGCTTCAAAAATAGACTTGTAAGACAAATAATTCTTATGTGTGCTCTGTAGTGTAGCACTGTGGAATTGCATGTAGAACTTTCTTCCAGTTTACAGGAACTAGCTTTTTAAATTTAGATGGGAGAATGTGGGAATAGTGGATCTAATTATAATAGTGAATTCTGGTAAATCTCTGTATGTCCAACTTTTCAGTTTCTTAGCATTGACTTGAAAGTAAAATGAGATTCATTTTTGAAACTGGGTTGCTGTGAGTTTTCCAGGCAGTATGGCCATGTTCCAGAAGCATTCTCTCCTGCCCACAATGTGGGCAAAACTTCAGGAGACAATGCTTCTGGAACATAGCCATACAGTCCGGAAAACTCACAGCAACCCAGTGATTCCAGCCATGAAAGCCTTCGACAACACATTTTTGAAACTGTTTGATATGGTTTCGCACTAAACCAACTTGTGTGAGTACAGCCAACATCTTGTTTGATCCAAGCCACATCTAGCATTCTGGATAGACCGTACAATTAGTAGCTTGTGTTTATGCAACATTTCTGGTGTGCAAATTCTTTTCAAATATTTTCATAACCCAAAGTTTATTATTCCACCTTTACAGTGGGAAATTGAAGCTGAACTTGATTTGCCAAAATTATGAGAGTTTATTTGCACCTGAGAACGATTTTGAAGTCAGGCCTCTTAGATTTCAGATGAATGGTTTTATCTACTTCACAACATAGGCTTTGTATAACCCATCACATGAATACCATTTTAGCTTATCACATGTAGCCTGTGGGAGACATATCTTTGTGGAGGAAAGGCATGATCATGAGGAGCATCTCAGAACATTAACACGAGTGCTTTGAATGGAAACATTTACCGTAGATTAAATCAATTGGTCCTGATCTTTATATGGCAGTGAATGTTAGAAAGATGAAAGGAAAGCAAAGTATTAACAAGCAGTGCCCTAGATAGCATTGTTACTGCATGTTTGAAGCTTCCTCCAAGGCATTTTTCATCCAGGAGGAGTGAGGCAGCTGGCACGTTTTGTATGTTCTTAAAATTATGCCTGAGATGAAAGAGCAAGTGGGACAAAAGTAAGCTGCAGAACGGAAGGAGTGGTTGAGTTGCCAAACTTACCATTATTTCTGTCATGTAGCATAATTGATTTTTATTGTAGTAAACAAATTGGCAGAGCAAATGTGTAGTAAACCATTAGAGCAATGGTTTTCATCTTTCTGCCTTTAAGAGACTCTTTCCGCATGAGCTTCTGTGTTAGAAGGATGACATGTACCCACATCTCTGTACGTTTCAGTGATACAGAAACTGTGACCTACTGTTCCTCACAGTTATTCTTTTGGTTCACAGAAAAATTCAGAGTCCCTCTATGGCAGTGGTTCTCAACCTTTGGGTCCTCAGGTGTTTTGGACTACAACTCCCAGAAACCTCAGGCAGTTTACCAGCTGTTAGGATTTCTAAGAGTTGAAAGTAAAACATCTGGGGACCCACAAATTGAGAATCACTGCTCACATTGTGGATTTTTAAAAGGTCTTGTTCTCTCTTTCCAGCTTCTTTCTATTGAACTCTTGATGAGCTGCAGAAAGGAGCATTGGACTGCAGTAAGAGAAGTTCTTATCTATGCACCTGATAATTTGATACGCCATGTTTGAAGTTTTGTTGACAAAGCTCAGAATACCTTGGGACTGAGATACCCTGTCTTCACCTAAATATTCCCTGTTTGCTGCTGAGATCTTCCATTTCTGATACTACAACCAAATAAATGCTGTCTGGCCATATCAGGAAGGCAGATCTTCTTCACAGTAGTGCCCATTCTTTGGAACTGTCTTTTGCAATAGATTGAAGAGGTAGAAACAATATTCAATCATGAATGCTGCTGAAAATTCTGTTTTAGCAGGCATTCAATCTCATAACTAGTTTCTCGCTTTTGTACTGATTGATTCATGTTGTCATTTATTTATTATTTTTAAAGTACTTTATATGTTTTTATATTGCTTTTCTATTTACTTCTTAATGTGAGCCACTTGGAACTCTCCCTGTATCCAGCAGTATATAATTTGGTAGGTAAAGGCATAAAACACTGATTTAAAACTGATTAGAGTCGTCATAGAATCTCTTTAAATTGATATGTAGTTTTATGTTCTAATAATATGATTCATGAAATTTTCAGTCATTTGGTGTCTTCTTCCTATCAACTGTATGTTCTGAAGAGGCTTATCAGCTCAGTTTTAAATGATAATTTGCTTCTATTAAATTCAGATTTTTTTTGAACCAGATTATTCTGTAACTGGAAGTGCCATACTTTCTTTTTTAGAGAACTTGCCACCACGGGTAGGATATTAGAAGATATTAGGTGTTTTAAAGCACTTTCATATGTGGCCTTACAGACACTAGTCAGAAATGTAGGTGGTCTGTTGTAGAGATGTCACTGTACTTTTGACTGTGATGTGTTCTTTTCCTTGTCTCATTTGTAGGATGCTTACTATTTGACAGAATGCTGAATGCTCCTCACACCAGGTTCCAGTAGAAGACTTCAGAGATGAAGACTAGTTCTAACAAAACTTTGGTAGGTTTAGAATAGCTACATACATATTGTGGATCACTTGAAAAATGATATGTGTTGTTCCTGAAAGTATTGTGTCTTCCGTAGGAAGAAGGTAAAAACAGATGCTTATACATTTAGTGGACAGAGTTGCAGTCATTGCATCAAAATGTGTAGCCTTCTTTGGCAGGAATGGCTGTATCTGTTCCATTTGCACCTCACAGGTGACATAAAGTTTATCAACAAATCCTGAATGTATTTATTTATTTTCTCTCCTAATTTTCTCCCTCGGTTTGAATTTTAAAGTTTTGTATCAAGACATAATACATTATATGTGATCGTGTGAATAAATTATATACATAATACATAAAATGTTTTTTGCTTTCTGTTGTCATTTTATGTCTATTTTCCCCCCATGTTCTGCAACCTGGACTCCTTACAGCTCCTTTTGAAGGTCCTCAGTATTGAAGCTGAGGGCTTTGGCATGTGGAATGAACATTTTACAGCAAAGTGGGTAGAAGAGACTTTCTAAGAGTGCCTCTTCAGCCTTCTCAGCCTTCTGAGCTTTTCAACCTGTCTGACGTGACAGACCAATCCTACTTTTTTTGTAATGTGCTAGGGATCAACTGGCTACAACTTGGAAACGTGCACAAACAGATGGCTGATAACTGAGATATCCCCAGTTGTTCATAGGCCACCACTTGAGTAGCACTGCTAAAAGAAATGAGATTCACCTTGCTGTCTCTGACAAACCAGCCAAACTTGGGAGGTAGAAAGTTTATTGTGAGGTTTTTCAAACAAATCAGAGTATAAGCAGTAAAAAGATCAGTAGTACAAGGTAAAAATCCAATATAATCCCTTTGAGTCAAAGCAGGAGACTTGAAGCAAAGAAGCAGAGTAAAGTCCAGGAAATAGCATGAGGTTACATGAAGCAGGCTTTTCCCAAGCCCCAAGCCCCAGAGCCGGAGCCAAAGCGAGCCATTTTTGCAACGTTGGAACTGACGCCGAATCAGCTCCAAGGCAGTTTACTTATAGGTAAAACATCAAAACATTGAACATCAAACAGGCAGCTAACAAGCAGTTTTCCCACCAACGGATGAGGTCAAGACTTGGCCGCAATTCGTAAACTCCGTCTCAACACCTGTGGGGCAGCCTGACCTTCACCAGCTGTCTTATCAGCCACATTCCGTTCCTGTGAGAAAAGTGGCTTGTCTCTAGCTACAGATTGTGACTGAGAAAACTGAGAAAACTGAAAGCCCACACCTGCATCTGTATTCCCATTCCCATCATGCTCATCTGCACTCTCAGTCCCATCATGCTGTTGCTGTTGAACCACAACACTATCCCCCCCCAAGCCCCCCCCCGTTGGCCCCCCACCGGACCGGGCTTGGCCGGGTAGGCCCGGTGAAAGCGGGACACTAGGAGAGGAGCATGGACATCCCGAGCATCCACCCAACAGCGCTCCTCAGGACCATATCCCACCCAGTCCACCAAGTATTGTAACTTGCGATGATAACGGCGAGAGTCCAAAATGTCTGCCACTTCGAATTCCTCCTCTCCATCGCGCAGAATCGGGGGTGGCGGAGGAGCCCCGCCAGCATCCGGCCGGACTTCCGCGGCGGGTCGAAGCAAAGATCGATGAAAAACAGGATGAATCCGCATGCCGCGCGGAAGCTTTAGTTTAAAGGTCACAGGATTTAATTGGTCCACCACTGGGTATGGCCCCACAAAACGAGCGTCAAGCTTTCGAGAGGGGCGTTGTATAGGCAGGTGTTTAGTGGACAGCCAAACACGATCTCCCACTTGGATCGGTGGACCCGGCTGTCGATGGGTATCAGCCACTCATTTGTAATCTTCTTTTTCCTGCTCAAGTTGAGCCTTTAAGATCTCTTGAATCACTGAGAGCTCCTGCAGCCAAGTGGTAGCAGCAGGGACCTCCCCTGACCCAATCACGGAGGGAAAGAACCGGGGGTGATATCCATAGTTAGCAAAGAACGGGGCTTCTTTGGTCGATCCGTGAGTAGCGTTGTTATAAGCAAACTCGGCTACAGCAAGAAGCGATGACCAATTGTCCTGTTGATAGTTCATCTGTATTCCCATTCCCATCATGCTCATCTGCACTTTCAGTCCCATCATGCTGTTGCCGTTGAACCACAACAAAGACTTCCAATTGTTGGGCTGGAGCAATTGGAAAAGTGAGAAAAGAAGGCATTAACACAAATGTTTTTAATTATAATTCTTCATAATCAATTATAATTCTACATTCTGCTATTCTAATCTCTTTGGAAGAATATTATCAGCTGATGACAACTGATTAATAGCACCTAAATATATAAAATTGTTCCAAATATAGTTTGGAAGATGGAATTTCAGTTGTTTGATATCTTAAAAGTATATTTCTAATTTTAAGAACATTTAAGAAATGCCCTGTTATATTTTGCTTTCTTGCATATTTTGAACCTTGACCCTTTGTCTAGAATAAGGCGCTACAATAAGGCCTTGATTGAAATTGTGCATAAATAGGAAGAATGCCTGCTGAGGATGCCAGAAAGAGATTATCATGACTTATACCCCTCTGTCTTAATTGAAGCAAGTCAAATTTTTACAAGTCAACATCTTTATCACGTTAATGGTCTGTCGTAGCTGACATATGTATTGATTGTTTCAGAAGCTGTACAGAGTTAATCTTTGATGTTCAGGTACTGGAACTTCGCCTTTGTCATTTTGTTGAAAGATTGCTTCCTTCCTTGCCAGGTTTTACAGTATAAGAAATGCAGTTCAGTTGCAATTTGGATCAATACCCAATAACTGAAACATGGTTGACTTATCTTCTTCTAAGACAGTTTGAACATGGATGTCTTTTAGCTTTATCAAAACAATTACTGTCAGGTAGCCTAGCATACTGTTTTTTTTCCCACTGGTTTTGCCAGGAAGTCACTGAGCCCACACATAGATGCGAAAAGTAAGGTACAGCACTCTAAAGACTTTAAATTAGTCATACTTGGGCTAGTGGGTCTCAGCTAGTACAGAAAACTGAATGTGAGGTGCCTAGCAGTATGTACCTGGTTTGGAGATTATTTGCAAATCTTACCTTATTGGGTTTTAATTCCAAGCATAATTATATTTTGCTTTTAATTTTTTAATTGGTTACCATGAAAATTAGAAATTAAGCTGAGATAGCAAACTTGATTTGGATAGCCACTTTCTTTCAATTCTGGACCACTACAACTGTCCAGATTTGACCTGGAAACCTACCCATCCTTTGTAAAAACATTGCTGTCATCTAGCAATACAGGCTTCACAGAGTAAATAAACTCCTCTATAGAAAAGGTAAGGTTTTCCCTGACATTAAGTCTAGTTGTGTCCAGCTGTTGGGGGTGGTGCTTCTCTCCATTTCCAAGCTGAAGAGATGGCGTTGTCCGTAGACACCTCCACAGTCATATGTCCAGCATGACTGCAGAAGCAGTACCTGTTAATCTACTCATACTTGCATGTTTTTGAACTACTAGGTTGGCAGAAGCTGGGGCTAACTGTGGGATCTCACCCTGCTCCCTGGATTCGAACCGACGACCTTTTGGTCAGCAAGTTCAGTGGTTTAACCCTTCGCTGCAGGGGGTTATAATTTTATTTTGCTTTTATTTATTTTGTATCAAAAGCATTGCATAAATTAGTATAAAACTGATAAAATAGAAGGTGTGCAGGCGGCTAAATATCTTTTGACCAAAAACAGGCAACAGCATTGTCTGTAGCCTCCAACAATTCCTCCTCTGTACATGAGGCAAGGCATAGTGGACAAGCATACAGATGCAGAGTTGTCTGTTCTGCTCCACAGTCACACAAGGTATGGGATTCTTTTAGATAGTTCCATTTTGCCAGGTTGTCTTTTGATCTGCCCACTCCGCTTCTGAGTCTATTCATTGCTTTTAAAAATTTTGCTTTTAATTTGCCATGAATATTAGAAATTAAGTTGAGATAGCAAACTTGATTTGGATAGCCACCTTCTTTCAATTTTGGGCCTCTACAACTGTCCAAATTTGACCTGAAAACCTACCCAGCCTTCGTAAAAATATTGCTGTCATCCAGGCTTCATAGAGTAAAAGAACTCCTCTCTAGAAATTCAGTCAGCAACATCGTTCACATTATGTAAGTTCAGCAAATGACCTTGTTTTGGCAAGAGAGATTTTAAAGTAAATTCAGAATTCTAGTCTGTGTTGTGTATTTGTAGTGAAGATTGTCCACATGCATAAAACAAAAACGTTGAGTACATAAAAGAACATAATATCTTTATTGTAGTTGGCCTAAGAGATACCTAAATGAAGGGGCCTCTTTTCCCTTTCCTGAAAGGAAGTGGAATTATCACCCTTTCTTACACATCTACACTTGCATTTTTAGAAGTGCCTTCTTGATCACAATTCTTAGCTCTTGAGTAAGATTTGGCTTCTTCAGTTAATGGCTCATATATTTTGAAGCACTTTTTTGGAACCCAAAAGAGATTTGGAGGAGCAATTTCTGCTGAGAGTAAAGCTAGAGCAGAATGATTGAGTTCCCCGTCAATACTTATTTGATACTTTTTAGTTTATAAAGATGCACAAGTGCCAAAAGGTTTATCATCTGTAGCTTGGCTGTTAAAATATTTTTATTTAGATTTTTCACATTGCTTTTCTGCTTCTGGTTCACTTCTTGTTGTATTATTTTCATAGGGTTTATGCATAGTGGACAACAATTTAGTGTTAATTTAAAATTGAGAAACTGAACAATTGCTTGTTACTTTTTCTCTTCTCAAAAGAAGTATGTGCAATTTGGGGATAGGGGGATAGTGTGTAGCTAGTTCAATTCTTTTGGCCAGAAATTGCTGGTCCTTTGCCCATTTCTAATAACGTCATTGCATTTGAGAAAAGGAATCTGATATAGTCACCATTCTTCTTAGTCTCATAGCAAAGAAAAAAGGAACACCTGTATTTTAGTCCACGCTGAAGTTTGTATGAACCAAATAGGAGTACAGTACATTCTTGCTGAAGGAAATGTGGGAATGAGCTGTTCAGTTTTAAAAAGATAGCTACAAAAATTAGACTTGCTCTTCCAGTTTGTTTTTCCCTTGTAATAATAATAATAATAATAAGTAATAGTAATAATAAGGATGCTGATGCCTAGAACCTTTTCTGACTGCTTTCCTCCTAATTTATTTTGGAAAGAATACTAATTTCTGGAAAGCTGTTTGAGCTGATGTGAAGTAATTAAAACAATTTTCCCCTGCTGTTTTTGAAATGATATTGTCCTTTCACTCTTACAAATAACTGTTTTTCCTCCTCCCTCCAGATGGTCTGCTGCAGCTGTTTTTAGTGGCAAAATGCCTTGCTCCAGTCCTTTTCTAA